AAAATAATATTGGGTCTAATTTATAAAGTTGTTAAATATATGAGTAGTATTGAAAAGTTGTAAAAGTTGATATAAAAGAGAATATTTTGAGAATATTCTTTTGAGTTTGAAAATGAGTTTATCGGTTGGAGAAAAATTACTGTTTGACGTGACAGTTACTGCAAAATGAGTTTGAGAATGAGTTTTTCGGTTGGAGATGGTCTTAGCCACTAAACCCAATATAAACGTTCGCAGCCTTTAAAGCAATCCGATTGGCTAAAAAAATATGAAAAGCAACAATAACATAATCACAAAAATATTAAAAAAATCGTGGGAATTGAAAGTTTTGAACCTCCATTTTCTTCATTCGCACGCGTTATTATAAATCCAATTTCACCTCCCAATTCATTCATAGCCACAAAAACAAGAAAAAAGAATAAAGGGGATAAAAGTATAAAAAAAAACACACCCCCTTCAAGAGGTTTTGGCATATTCCCCATCAAGAACAAGAGAACAATTTCTTCGAAACCCCACAACCAAAAATCTATACTTTTCTTCCTCAATCGCGCCTCCCCCTTGACCCCAGGCGTTCAAAGATTCAATCTTGGAGCTGAGAAGCTACGTTTCGATTTGGCCCACAATGAGCATCCTCGAAAAGTTCCTCCTTTTCTTGTCCATTTTGCCCGTCGCCTGTTCTTCTCACGAAGAAACGAGTTTCAACCCCATCGTAGTCCAAGTGCCCGAGATGAACGGCGCCGGGTTGGGAAATGGGGCCCTAAAAGAAACCCATTTGGAGTGTACGAGCTGGAGGGTCGCCGTGGAGGCTAATAACCTGAGCCCATGGAAGACGATTCCGGTGGAATGCGGCGAGTACGTGAAGGATTATATGACTGGTAAAGGTTATGAAATCGATCTGCAAAGGGTGTCGAACGAGGCTGCAAATTATGCGAGGAGTGTTGATTTGAGTGGTGATGGGAAAGATGCTTGGGTTTTTGATGTGGATGAGACTTTGATTTCTAATCTACCTTATTATCAACAACATGGATATGGGTATGGTAGTGTTCTTTCTAGTGTTATCTTTTTTTTTTTTTTTTTAGTTAATTTTGAAGAAGTGTTGTTAAGTTTTGGCCTAATTGCAAAAGATTTTGGTTTATTTAAAAAAAAAAAATCATTTTTTTCTGTCATTCAAGTTTTGTTTTGCGAAAATGGCACTCATGAGGTTGATTTAACTGAAAATGTAGATCTGTTTATAGTTGGCTGATTCTCATTGAGGTTGTTATGATGTTTTGTGGACTGTGGTCTATCTATTAATGGTGGGTTGGTTAGTGTTGGACGTTCATCATGATCTCGTTGAACTTTTTTTAACTACGAAAGATGCTAAGGTCCCGTTACGGAATCATTCCGTCGGGGTTTGTAACCGTTAGATCAACTATCTCTGACGGTTACATGATGATCTAACGGTTACAAACCCCGGCGAAATGGTTGCGGGACCTTAGCATTTCCCTTTAACTACTTGTCTATGATTCATTCTATTGAGGACAAAATTGAAAATTTATCTCTGAATTTGAGGCCTGTTCTTACTTTTTCTTTGAGAATATCATCATGATCATGATCATCATCATCATCATCATCATCATCATCTTGGTTGGTTGACGGGCTTGATTGCATTTTGTCGACTTATCAATCTTTTATCTTTAATTTCTAGTTCGAATTTCAATTGTAGCGACTGTTGATTTGGTAGTTGTGTGATTTTGGTAAATGGGATTATCCAAAGACTATGCTCAATGTACCATTCAATTCAAAATAAATTATTGTTGCATCGATTTTGGGCTCCATCTGATGCATCATTTTCCATTTTCGTTATGATAATGTAGCCTGGAGATTTTTGATAGTACAAAATTTGATGAATGGGTGGAGACGGGCATGGCACCCGCCATAGAGCCTAGTCTGAAGCTTTACGAAGAGGTTTTAAACTTGGGATTTAAGGTGATCTTATTGACTGGTAGAAGTGAAAGGCACCGAGGTATTACTGTCGAGAATTTGTCAAGAGCTGGAATTCGTGAATGGGATAAGCTCATATTAAGGTGAGACCATTCATTCAACCTTTGTCTGAGTCTCAACACAATGTAGAATACACTCCTTAATGATTTAGCTTCATAGTCTTATCCATTAGCGATAAAATTTGCCTAGAAAGTTTGATAATTTCACGTCTGCTCGAATTTCTTGCAGGTCCTCAGAAGATCACGCGAAGACCGCAACCAAGTACAAGTCAGACAAGAGGGATGAGCTCGTTGGGGAGGGTTATCGAATCTTGGGAAACTCCGGGGACCAATGGAGTGATTTATTGGGTTCGTCAATGTCAGCCCGCTCATTCAAGCTTTCGAACCCCATGTATCACATTCTTTAGACCACATGACAAGGCTCTCCTATGAATTCTTTTATGATTGGATGCTGAAAAATGAATTAACTTTGTGTACATTATATGATTTGGTTATTGGGTCATCCCTTTTTCACTTGACCCTTGAAAGGAAAGCAAAAGATTATGTAATAATATTATTATGTGTAGTGTGACTAACCTCATTTTAATGTTGTTATTGTGACATTATTCAATAAATAAATATCAATTTCAAGCTTTTGCCTTTAATACCCCCTTATTTGCATTCTTTGCAAGAATATTGGCATGGGACATAGGATTAGTAAATGGGCCTGTCTATTCATTAAATTAAATCAGTTAGTGCCAGGGATAGGCCCATTTGTAGTGGGACTGTGTGTGGGTAAACAGTAAAAGTGAGGCTAAAAGACATAAGTAACCAATTATTAAAAATCATTTACATACAAAAAAAAAAAAAGGACTTTGGAGAATTGGGTTTGTTAAGCAGTTGATGGCCATGAAGGCTTTAAAAGGGAAGTAATTTGTTATTTTCTCTTAGCTCTGTTCACTTAACCTCTGTGGTTTGTATTCGATTTGTAATCAGTTGATTGCACGCTTGTTGTAATTATCTCGAGTTTTATTTAAGTTTTGTTTGATGTTAGAAAAAAAAAATCATAGTTGACTTACTTTTTTTAAAAAAAAAAAAAAAATAAAATTCGAATGAGTTTGGAGCCAAAATCAAATTCTCAATGCCATTATAAGTAACTTTGGAGCCAAAATCAAATTATTAATTATATTACTTTGCCCAATTTAGCCCCACCCTTGTTATTCCCTAAGAATCCAAATAGCTCTATGTTTCACCACTTTATATTTTTTTTTATCCTTTAGACCAATCCATCATTGGAATGATGCTTCTTTTTCAAATAAAGAAGCTCACAATCCCAATTCCACAAGAGAGTAATGCTCCTCTAACCACGGTAAGCACATGTTAATATGCCAACCGTTTATGTGGCAAACACATATTGGTGATGTATTTTTTTTTAAACATATTAATATAATCAATGTGTGCATGCCACACAAGCGGTGAGTATATTAACATGTGGCCAGGTAGGTGAGCATTATTATCCGACAATAATCAAGTCAAAAGAAATTGGTAGTTTTTGAAATAAATAAAGCTGTAAAAAGGAAATAGAACCTTCTTCTTTTTTTTTTCTTTTTTTTTTTGTTTTGGTGAAAAACTCCATTTAATATACCGTCAAATTAGGACCACTAATATAAAATGGACCATGCAAAAGCATCAAGATTTCCTAAGGTAATTAATACAAAATTTAATACCTCTCCTAACTTTGGAATAGTGTTGTACTTATTATTGCCTCAATTTCATCATGTATATATTACTATTACAGAGCCCGTGCGATGCACGGGATGGATCGCACGAGGTGCACAATTTTAAAATTATTTATCCAGCTTTATAATTATATAAATGACTAAAAAAAATGTACGGGATATATATAGTACGGGACCTGTGCGAGGCACGAGATATATTTATTTGAGAAATATTATATTATAAGATGCAATATTCAATAAAAGTTTTATAATATGCAGGAAAATTATACAATAAAATAATATTCGACAAAGAAACAATCATATATTATTAAAGACCTCCTTATACATAGATATTAAATAAGTTATTAGTAAAATAGTGTAAATTGATTATAATAACAAAACAACATGCTCACGGGATTAGTAAAAATACTCCATGGATTGAAGATTTAATGAGATTAAACATTTAAATTAATTAATTTAGATAATTCGAAATTAGATAATTCAAAAGCCTTCCAACATTGTTTTGGCTTTAATATATTACAGCATGGGTAAACTTTAAATATATTAATATTTAAGGAACTTTAAACAACATAGGTTTTAAAAAATTATTTTAGGAAACTTTAAACAGTATATTTACATCACCCATAAAACAAATTATATTTCAACAGCATAGTTATAGTATTATTTAAGGAACTTGAAACAGCATTGCAAAATATTTACGTCCACCCATAATTTTTTTGTAAGTCGAAGGTAATTAATCCAGCACTTTTTTTTTTTGTTTATTTGTTTAATTTTTTTGAAAAAACAGATGTCATGGATAAAACAATTAAATATTAAATAAATTAATTAAATAATATGCTTTAGACAGACATAGAATGTGGATAATCCTCTCATGCCAAACAACGCGATTTCAAAATTGATTCAGATCCAACAATACTATCCAATATTTTATTAAAATAAATATTAAATAAAATGCTTTAAACATAAATTAGATAAGAAATTTTGAATCTGTCTTTTTTAGTATAGATAGACTTTACGTACAATTTTTGACTTTACTGATTTTATGTGATTTGTTTTGACTAAATCGATGTTATTATGGAATAAGACAAATAAATAAAGCCTTTTTTTATTTTAGGAAAGATTTTACGTACTTTTTCTTGACTTATCCGGTGTTATGAGATTTTTTTTTTCTTAAACCGATTTTATGGGATATAAGACAAATAAATAAAATAATTAAATAAAATTTTGGATAGAAATAGTAATGCATTAATTACATTGACTTTTCAACCTACTAAATTTGGTAAATAAGATACCTTATTATATAAGTATAGATATTTTGATTATTATTGTTATTATTATTTTTTGTGTGTGGCAACTTCATAATAGTATTTTTGAGACCAACTGATTCAACGAATGTAGCAACAGTTTTGCTATGGAGCCATCAGATGACTCGACTCATGCAGTCATCCACACTTATTCACTAATAGTGTATTGACACGTGTCCTGCAAGAAAATACAATCTAGAAAGGTGTTGATACATTAGTGGTGGATGGTTCCATAAGAAACCATCTAATTGCTTCATAGAATTTGAATGTCGCAACAATTTGACTTTGCATTGTGGCAAATTATGTACACACCTATTTATATGTATAATTGTTGGCATAAATTTTATGGAAATTGTTTTCATTTTTTTGTTATTATCCGTTACATTTTGCATTAGTCAAGGAATTATATATTTTTATTATTTTATCACATAATAATTACCATTACTAAATAATCATAAAGACACATTAAATGATATTCAATTCTAGATTTTTGTAGAACTGTTTATTTAAAATTATTAGTAGCATTTTCCTTACTTTTTTTAACTCATTAAGCAAAGTTTTTTTTAATTAAAATTAGTCAATTATTTTTATGTCATAACCAAACTTTTCAAAATTTCATACACAATTACTATAATTATAATTTCGACATTAGATTATCTGATTAATTAATCATAATTATCCAAGATTGTCAAAATTACATTATTATAATCAATATAAAGATTAATATGGAAGCTAAATGGTTTTATATTTATATTACTTTTTCAATGATAAAATTTAGAAAATGTGATATTTCTTATTTAACTTGTGGTCTTAAACATTATATATACACACATATAACATATAAAATTTTATTGTATTTGTGCATATACACATGATCGAATACTAGTATATATAAGGAGCGGCAAAGTATTTAATGTAAAATTTTTTCATTTTTCGCTCTTTCTTTGATGCAATTATGAAAGAAATTGTTATATCTTATATTAATTCAATAATTATTATATTTTTTTTACATATTCTATCATTATAATAGTTATTATTATTAAAACGAACTAATTATATTTTTACACTAAATGGTATATGAATGTTACACAATATTATATTTTTTTTGGGAACGATAGTTGTTCAAGAATTAATATTATTATTTTGGGTAAATAATTTTTTCCAGCATGTACTATACGTGTTTTTGGAATTTTCGACCTAAAGTATTTTTGTTTGTAAAATACAGTCTGAACTACATATACAGTCACTATTTGCATGCTCGACCACATCTTGACCATACACGTGTCTTTTTTTGCGGATGATCGGACGGTCAAAAAGTAGTCGAGCGTGCAATTGTATATATGTAGTTCAGATTGCATTTTACCAAAAAAATACTTTAAGTTGAAAACTCCAAAAGCACGTATAGTACAGGTTGAAACAAATTACTTACCCTATTATTTTTTATCTCATAAAGAGATTGTCATTTACGTAAACTAAGAGGTTTTAAGGGTATAATCAGACCCCTTAAAATTGCATAAACATTTTTTATAATAATATTAACTTTAAAATTTTTATAGGTACTTATTTGGTTACCATCCCTCAAATTATAAAAAAAAATACATTATTCATTACATTTTTTATCTATTAATATAGCGACCCATATGCAGTTAAATAATTTGTAGTGTTTATATAACTTATAATTTTAATATTATATCCACATATATATATATATATATAACTTATAATGCTTTATTCAACTTTATGCATACAAATAAAACAGAATACTAGTTGTTACTTTAAGACTTTTTTCTCGTTTTGTGATAAGTGGATCAACGATTGTAAGACTTTTTCTCGTTTTGTGAGTGGCAATTATCTATTTTTTTTTTTTCCGAAACCATAGAAGTTCTATTAAAAAGCACAAATGTGCAAAAGATACAGACTACATGACCCCAAAAGGGTAATGAAAGACCCCAAAAGGGTAATGAAAGACCCCAACAGAGTAATAGTACAGGGGCCAACGGCGCAAACCAAAAACACTCCTAGACACCAGAAATCGAAAAATGAGAGGACACGTACATGGTGGCCTAGAGAACTCCACAAACTAAAAAACAACGAAAATGATAAACAGGGTCACTGCACATTGCCTAGCCTGTAATCATTCCCAAAAACAAAACACACAAAAACAGAAAAACACCAGCTACAGTAAGGAAAGAAAATAAGCAAATTAAAACAAAAACAAAAGGAAGACCTCCCTCAGCAGAAACATCTGAAACCACCAACGAGCAAGGCTGACTCCAGGTCAGGATTGAAGCAAAGGAATGCCACCCACCACTGCCGGAGGCCTAGCAAGGAAGAACGCCAAGCCACAACCCACCCCAACGCTAACCACCTCTCCAACCAAAAGACCAGGAGACTACCCGTCCCAACTAACACCACTAGTCGAGACAAGAGGTAGAAACCCGTCTCCGCTCAGCCACCCCTCCAGCCCGTACGAGCACCGTCGAACGAGTGGCAATTATCTATCGTTTGCAAAAAAAAAAAAAAAAAAAAAAAAAAAAAAAATTGTTACTTTAAACTTATCTTAATTATTTATTGTGTACTTGCTTAATTAATTCCAAATTGGCAGATAAGTTCGGTCTAGTTAGTTAGAGGCACATGCACAAACAGACATACCATTCTAGTCCTTAACTACACATTAATATTAAATTCAATATACCACTTATATACTCAATTAAATTCATGCCATTTCTACACAGGCACATAATATGTATGGTATATATATGAGTATAGCAGTAGTAGTAAATAGCAAGGCAGACTTTACATTAGAATCAAATATTTCTTGGTGCATAGTAGTGGAATAAGATCAAATATTTCTGAACTAGGTTAAACACGTGTGGCAAAAATAGACATGGATATGCATAACGTATAATTAGGTAACGTGGAAAAAGACAAGGAAAACATACTGAAATTCAAGTAGAGCCGAGTCGAGCATATCATTTTTTAAGATCGTGTTCGTTTACGCTTGTGAAAGCTCGGCTAGCCTCGTTTCATTAAACAAGCTCATCCTTTTTCGTTGAGAACGATTAATGTTCACAGGAAGATTTCGTCTTGATTATTCGTTCAAAATCTATAAACGATAAAATTAAACAAATGACAAGTACACGAATGAACTTGCATGACTTGACTCATTTAATAAACGAGTTATGTTGATTGTTTGAATTTAGCTCGATTTTTTAGGCTCGAGCTCGACTCGATATAAAATTACAATAGCTCTAGCTCGACTCAAAATCAAAATGCTCGAGCTCGGCTCAAAAATTAGGTAAAATTGCCATTAAATATCTATGCTAATATATATAATAAGGAGTATTTTAGTATTAACGTATATCTCGAGCCGCTCGACATGGCAAAATATGGGCTCGAGCTCGAGCTCGAGTTCGTGCTCGAGTCACTCGATCTTGACTCGAGTTCGGTCAAACTCGAGCTCGAATTGAGTTTTGACTCGAACACTCGCTAGCGACTCCTGAGCTGCTCAACTCGTTTGTAGCCCTATTTGTGACAAGGGTAATTCCCTCGAAAATCATATGTTATGTCATTATCAAAGCATAAAACCTCAGCAAATATCATTTTTCCCATATAAAACGTCACATGGATCCACCTGCCGCTACATACACACACACTCTCTCTCTCTCAATCCTACACACAGTCTGTCTTTTCTGTGTCTTCCCTTCTTCTCTCTCCCTCCCAACACACACACACACACTCACACACACAGAGACAGTGAGATTGCCTGCTACAGCTCTTCATCTTTGCAGTTCCAATCAACACCACTCCAAATGGAAGTTCATTTGCATTTATGAAGAAAAAACCCCAATCTTTCCCCATTTTTTGTCCATTTCCTTGAGCAAAATTTATTGGGTCGCCCTCTTTGTCTTCAATTTCACATCCTTGACGAGTCCCAGATCTTGTTCTCTCTCTCTCTCTCTCTCATACAGTTTATGTTCTAACAAAAGGCCATAAAGCTACAGTCTTTATCCACAAATCCCAATGAAACAATGGAGCACAGACACAAACTCACACTAATCATCACCCTAACTTCCTTATCAGCCTCAGCAATAATTTCCCTCTTACTCTTTTGTTTCCTGAGAAGAAAAACAAGATACGCGCCGCCGACAGATAAGGAGGCCGCCGCGTTTGGGTGCAAAGAAGAAGGGCCGGTAAGCACAGGGGATTTGATTAGATTTCGGGGCGGCGAGAATCTCGCCGTCGAGGACATTCTGGAGGCGCCCGGCGAGGTTATAGGGAAATCTAGCTATGGGACGGTGTATAAAGCTTGTTTGGATGGTTCGAATTCGCTTGCATTGCTAAGGTTCTTGAGGCCAACTTGTACGCTGAGTGTGAAAGAGGTGGTGCCGATTGTGGAGCTGTTGGGGTCTGTGAGGCACCCGAATTTGGTGCCCCTTAATGCGTTTTATGCGGGTCCAAGAGGGGAGAAGCTCATAGTTCATCCTTTTTATGGGAATGGGAACTTGGCTCAGTTTATCAGAGGTAAAACTTAAAAGAGCTGTTGTGGCTCTGTGTGTGTGTGTGTGTGTGTTTTAAATGTCTTCTTTTTGGTTTTTTGGCGATCGATTTTCTTGCCATTGTGAAGATAATATTCGTATGTTCGGTGAAGCTATGTTGTGATCTTTATGTTCTGGTGTTGGGGCTTCAATTTTGTTATGAATTAGGACTAATAATCGGATAAATCTGTGAGAAATGTATGCCTTAGTTGTCGAAATTCAATGTCATTGATTTTGAAAATATGGTGTTTAGGTGGTTTGAAATGTGTTGAGAGAGTATAGGTTCACAAATTTTAGTTAATCTTTGATTCAGTCCTCTTAAGTTCCAAATTTTGTTTGTGCACTTTTCTAATGATTCTGAGGAATCATTGATAGTATCCTCTGTTTGCTTTCTTAAATGTTGATGTCATCCTCCCATGTGTATTTAGTGGTTTGTCGTGAAGGATGTAGGCTTCATTTAAGTATATGATACCGATCATTTGTAATGTAGTGTCATTGATCTCTTCACAAGTTTTTGTCATTAGTTAAAAGCGCGTAAAGTACGACAAATGCCTCTTCGGAAAATCGAACTCATTGATTAGTGCAGTTCTTGATTTTACTCATTAGCTATTGAACTTAGAATTTAGATCACAATTGGCAAATGTGTAGATTTAGTGTCTGGCTAATGCAGTAAAGCGTAGTTTGTCGTCTAGTTGGAACTTGGAAGTTCCATCACCTTTATGTTGCGGTACATTTTCGGATCCATTTATGTGGAAAGCGAAAAATGACAAATCAGCTTGTATTATCATTTTGTTACTTCCTCTAAAAAAGAAATACTGATAATAAAATTTCTGACACGTCGCTCTCGAATCGATCTCTCATTTATCACTTAGCACATGAGACAAAACACCAATCAATATACCGAGAAACGACTAATAATGCACGACTTTCAATGTGGGACACAGATGGCAACAACCCTGAGGCCCACAGATGGCCCACCATATGCAGAATCGCAACCGGCATTGCCCGTGGGGTCCACCACCTCCACACAAGGCCTCTAATCCACGGCAACCTCAAGTCGAAGAACATTTTCCTGGACCTCCACCATAACCCGCGCGTGTCTGACTATGGGCTGCAACTTCTCCTGAATCCGACTGCAGCCCAGCAGATGCTCGAGGCCTCAGCCTCCGAAGGATATAAACCTCCCGAGCTGATCAAGATGCGGGAAGCGTGCGAGGAGAGTGACGTTTACTCCTTAGGGGTGATTTTTCTCGAACTTTTGACGGGAAAGGAGCCGAATCGCAATCGGGATTTTTATCTGCCTAGCGCCTTGAGGAGCGCGATTCTTGAGGACCGTATTGTCGATTTGTACCGCCCGGAGATTGTTGTGGGGCTGGCTGATGATCGGAGGGCGGCCGTAGTGGATGGTATATTGAGATATTTCCAGCTCGCGATGGCTTGCTGTTCGCCTTCACGCGTGCTGAGGCCCGATATAACGCAGGTACTCAAAGGGCTCGAGGAAATTGGCAAGTAAAAGAACAAAAATTTAGGCATGAATGTTCTTTGATCATTTGTTTGGTTTTCATTGATTTAGAAAGTTGAAATGTAGATGTGTGAAGTGTAACTTTCTGGTATTCAAAATTCAAAAGGTTTTGACAAAATTCTATTGACTTGCTTCCTGATGGAACTTAATCAAGGTGTATATATGATATATCCCAGGTTTATCGATGTGGGAGTGGGACAAACACAACTTCTAACAATAACAACAACAACAATCAATCAATCAATCAACATACCCAGTATATTCCCAACAGGTTGGGGTTTGGGGGGTCAGTTGTACGCAGACCTTACCCTTGTAATTATACAAGGAGGTTGTTTCCATAGCGACCTAAAGTGCGTTGCGTCGTTTGATATATTTTTTTCTAGAAACTTCACTAATAGAAGAAGCACTAGAATTTAATTGAGCCATTTTGATTTAGTCCATTATTAGCACTATGCCAGGAGAATTGTCAACAATGACTCTTCCAGTATATAAACATTTATTAAAAATAATATGAGAAATTCCAATCATTTTTTTTTTCTTTACCAATGTAGAATAATATGTATAATCATTTAGTAGTGAAAAAACAAATATGTAATCTTAGATGGGATTTACCGGTGAAAGTAGTGCCCTCACCAGATTTTTTTACCGTTGGACCAACACACGCGTGCAGGTGTATGAGTGTGTGTAACACAAGATTATATGGAAGTTTCATACAAGATGCATATATAACACGATTATATATACATGTATATCAATTAAAACTACTAAATAAGTTGCATAAAAAGATAATTAAACATCAAACCACAGGTACATTAAAGGAATTCTGATTGCAGTATATTACAGTGGACTGTGTATTACACATTACACGAATTCTGATTGCAGTGTCACAATCTCAGTATAAATTGTCTTGTTTTGCTAGCACAGTACATTTGAATCATACTTTACAGAATCTGGCACCTGTGAAATTCTTTTCGCAACACAAGATTCAGTCGGGTTAAAAGTTCCGAACTCAATACTCTAGCATTTGTCAGCTATAAGGAAAGAGAAATTCTGAAGGGCTCGTAAAATGAGAGTTTCCCACACAGTCCTAGCCGACATCTTTCAAATATAATCAATTTTTTTTATCCTTCATTGTGATAGGCACGTATTAATAGAGATTCACGTGTTGGGTCGGGTGAAAGGGTAAACACCTAATCCAAGGGACCTGTTGCAAACAAGCTGACAAGGCCACGAAACACTTGGGCAGATAGCTTATGTGCTCGAAAAGGCTCACCGTCCACATTCCATATTCCCTCCTTTCCGGACGAAGTGAATGTGAAAGCTGGAGTCTGCTCCACGAGCATGGACAACAAAAAGTCAACTTGGATAAATAATATATAATAATTAAATATATATAGATATTAATCATAATCAAACATTGATTAAGGAAATGAGATGACATACTTTATGGTGTTCGACAAAGTCAAAATCAAGAGGGTCACCGCTTCTCCTTGTGAGTTGTATGAGGTGCCTACACATAAACACCGTTACAAAATTAGAAAAAAGAACAATTCTGTCAGAGAGAGAGAGAGAGAGAGAGAGAGAGGGAGAGAACACCATAGATAAAAAGGGTGAGGACAGTCTTTTATTAATATAAGATGCATGAACCCGTCAGAGAGATGAGCATCAGCTACTAGGCCATTCGGAGCCTTTTCATTTCGGCAAGATATTACGGCTGCACCCACACTAAGAAACAGTCCTTTGGACTTTGACCATCTCAGACCTTTTAAGTTTTCAGATGGGCTGGGTGGCCCAATTAAGGGGTCGTGTGATTTCGAGTTGCATACCGTGCAGTTAGCGCGGCACCTAACCCAATTTGGCCGTTTAGGGATACACCAAAGTCTTGTACTACTGACTTGAGGATCAATTTCAGACCGACAGCTTGCACTTTCCGATTGGACTTCAACATAATTCACTTCTGCCTCGTACGACCTTCAAAACACATTTACAAGTATAACAAGGGCATTATTACATACACACTAATCTGCTGATATTATAATCAATATTGTAATAAAATTCCTAAACAAAAATTATAAATATATATAAATATAATCAATAATCACTTCAGAATGAGTAATTTTACATACTGCCAAGTACTAATGGTTATGCAAATAACATTACAATACCTATGCTGAAGAAAAACTTTTGTCCCAGCATAGTCGTATCTCTTAGGTCCCATCCATCGATATTTCTCGCTTTCTGTGATGACATCTCCATAGAAGCCATAACTAAAAGTTGCCCGAAGAAAGAAAGTCATTAAATTTAACTGTAACAGTAATATGATCCAGGCAAATTTTTTATTTCGATATTCATTTTTTTTTTCTTTTTTTCTCATTATATTCAAACACGCTGATGGTAAAAGATTCTTTCAGAAGCAAGTTCATCTTCACAATCCAGGTATGTATTTATTGGGCAGATGTATCAATATACATTAATCTCGGTAGATTTTCTCAATGTTCAAGGCAATAATCTCTATGAACTGAATATGGAAGAACTCATCTTTACACAGTGGCGGAACTCCAGTGTATTGGTAATATTTTAGTGCAAACTGATATAGATAGTCAAATCACGCGCCAATAATAAAATATAAGACAGGTTTTCACATCACATGGGCATAATGGCATATAAATACCCAGCAAAAGAAGCTGCATAGCGTACACAGGGTTCTTCAACTGATGCATGTGTCTCTTTCCATCTTACAACTTGAGCTATATCAAGGTCCACCCTCTTACCAAGGATAATATGCAAGGCTGATGTCACCGGGTCTCGAGCCCCGGTTGTACTGCAAAAAGTAAAATAAAGTCACAATAATGAGCCTAATAAAAATAGTTGTGCACTTCGGTTACCACCGGAAGTTCTATGCAGAGGGTAGCATGGAATTTCTGAATTTTTTTCATAAATGGGAAAATAAACATGAAATTCAGATATGGGAAGAATCGAGAGTTATATTTTATTTGAACTGGAGGAAAGCTTGCTCCGCGATTTTGCTGTTAATCATTAGCAGGTCTTACATAGACTACAATTTCTAGTTTTTCTCTCTAATTAGGAGTAAGAAAAGGAACAAGACTGAATCAAAATAAGGTAATGCTGAAGGTACCAAATCACAATGGCATCAGTTGATCCAGCTGGAATAATCCCAAATCTGAACATTTCATTAGGAAAAGGAAACTCGGGGTCTTGTTCTGCAACAATAAAAGTTATAAATAAGCAAAAAAGATCACTTGAATAGATTAATAATCATAAACAATACAGACATAGAGATTTTTGTTGATTAGCATACCACTATTTTGGTCGTGAGGTCCAACATGTTCGGAGTCTGTGAAAATGAGGAGAATTGTCTTTATTTTGATCATGGACTCGAAAATGGTTCTTTCAACATTAATAAGAACTGAAGTATTTCACTCACTCTCGACAGGCTGCATGGAGTCGGTGGGGCTTGGTGGATATGGAGCTTTATGCCTCGACAAGAGAATCCCGTTAAGAATTTCATTGAAAAATCCATCACCACCCTAGTAACACAAGAGAAAATCATACAAAAGAAAAATCAAGAGTACAAACTAACCCCATACATGGTCAAGTGTTAAACAGCTAAAATAGTCAGTGAACATGAAACTATAGACATGCATGTATAGTAATAATTATGTACATAATATATATAGTATATACATAAATATAATAAATGACTGGATTAAGAAGATGCGGGGATAGAAGGGTACAACAACTTACAACAGCTACAATACCATCAAATAGTCTCAGATCCTGATTACTGATTGAGGCCAAAACATCACGTGCATGCCCAGCTCTCTCTGTCACTATTACCTTTATAAAATAGCAGAGTGGATGAAAATGAAGAAGATATATCCACTATGGAATTGTACCAAGCGATAAAATGAAAAACTGCAGTTGTATAGCAAGCCACACAAAAACACACATTCATAGTGGATAGAACCTTAAATCAGAAAATAATGCACAACAATTATAAAGAAAATAGCTTTGACCATGTGCACAATGTAGGCCTGCAATCTATCTGCATGGATAAATAAAATGAGGAGAACCAATTTCTCAAGAATTTTTATGAACAAGTTTACACACCACCACACATGTCCGAGTGGATAAAGCACGGTCAACATGCCATTGGCTACCTTTTCTAGTCATTCTATCTATCAGTTCCAAAATAATCTCCCTAGAAAATGCTAGAATCTTCAACTCGGCTTCTATAGAACATCTTTATAGTCAATCATGCTAATTAGACACACGTATGTCAGTACATTACACGATAAAACATATCAAATGAAGCTCATGTGGTTCAGTTGTTTATGGTTCTTTCAGCATATATATATTCTCACGAAGATTGTTTACTTTTGACGATGTTTATAGGGATTCTGCTGCATGTTTGAACTCAATGCCAATCCAATCCTAAAAACGCATTGACTTATAATACAAAATCGGAAATGAGCGAGGACATAATACACTTGGAGGACAGGAAACAAAGCTAAGTGGTCATAAATTTTATTTATTTACAGAATTTGGAGGACTTTTGAGCTTCCAGAAGAAGAATTTTCAGAATGTTGTTTCCGCACAGCAACACATTTGAGACAAAAGCCAGATTACAATATCGTTATGGCCAAGGTGGAATTGGTTTCATGCAATCCGCATAAAGAATAAGCTATCCTCGGAACAAATACCTCGATATGATATGATATGATTCCATAGAATGGAATCAAATAGACAGACTAATCAGTATAACATAGTAAAATACAACAATAACACTCTGATATACTGAAGATATTCAGAGAGGTAGATTTGCAGGTCTTCATATAACTTGGTCCATGATATATCACGACAAAATTGCCAATATATGTGAACAATTGCAAAAACTCTTGCATCCAGAGAAACAGAGATCACGGAATAAAAAGTATAATATCTTGTTAGATAACCTACACTCCAAAGTAAGGACAAAAAAAGCATGTGGCGGGTAGATCGAAGGATAAGTTTGTTTTTTCAATACTTAAGAGAAGTCGATAATATACCTTTGTTTTCACTTTGGCTTTAAGAAATAGTGGAGCTACTGCTTCCCAGATTCTACATCCTTGTCCTTTGCCACTCCTTGGATGAACAAAGACCTAATAGATTACAAAGTAATGTCCAAATCGAACAAGATAAAAGAACGAAAGGTATAACTGTATGAGACATTAAATTGATTATTTGTAACACTCATATTTTCATAAAATAAGTTTTCATTAGAAAAGAGACTAAATTGACATTTGTGATAAAATGAATGCTGCATTTTTGGAAACAAAAGTATTGCTATTGGTAGTACGGTATTTGACTCAATCAACGAAATGTAATGTCAGCGTATATTCTTTGGCTCATCATATGATGTGGAGTAATATAAAATAAGCATTCAATTCTGGAATGAAAAAACATGGGATGTTAAATTCCTACCAGAAGATTCTTTGGTCTCTTAGCTTCCACATGTAGATAAGCATTAATCTGGCTAACCCAACTCTTACAGATATCCGGATTATTATGACCAAAAGTGTAAACTGACGGCGACCAAAGAGATGATTGGGCCTTTCTTCCGTAAACAAAATGCAAAGTAAATCGGTACATCTGCGGGATCAAAGAGTGTACAGTACTAACATCAAAGAAACATTTCAATTAAGAAATGAACAAAACAAGTCTGAGGATGAAATTAGTCAGAATGTATCACCTCGGAAGAATGATCCAAAAGAGAACCTTCGCCATTGGAAACAACCGAACCGTTTACCACACCCCAGTCAATGAAGTCAACAGCATAAATATCAGAAAAATTAACCTCCATTTTAGCATCAGAAGCCATTTTCAATCCCAAGCACGAAACTTTATCGTCTTCCTGATACAACGAAGAAAAAGAAAAAAAAAATAATTCTCTGAATTAACCTCCATGCAATATAGATGCACATAAAAGATTCATTGAGTTGACTGTGAGAAACATAAACATTATACACATAACGCCATTACAAATTGAAAAATCACTCCCTTTACCAGCTAATTTTCACTTCATTAAGGTAAATAACATGATCCTTCGTCACAGAAAACAAATTGAATCAGCTGAATCGCAACAAAATATGCACAGACGATTGAACTAAAAAGATGAATTTCCGCCTAAAAGCGAGCAACACCCAAACACCCATGCAATGAAAAAGGTCCACTTCACGAATCAACCACAAGAAGAAGCCATTTTTATGAAGGATTAAGACGACGATTGTAAGATAGAACAGAGCACTTACATTACGCAATGAATCAATTGATTTCCAAGACAACGTATCAGCAGTGTGTGTAAGAACGACCTCCCCAACATGATCCAGGACAAAATTAGAGCTCAAGACAGAGCCCTCGCCGCCGCCGGAGAAAGGTAGGTCTGGGTGAGAATCTTCTCCGATCAGCCCATTTTCTTTTCTCTCCATGCGAACGTTTGGAGCTGAAAAAATTCTGAAATTTTCCGATGCGAATTTCACCCAATTTTCTTGAGAACCAATCAGATTGAGCCAGGGTCCATGTTAAGATAACAGGTCATGGCGATTGAAATAGGAAATACTTTGTCAAGCTCAAACCTGTTGAATGTTTGATTCTTGAAATTGGGATCTTTTTTTTACTTATCAATTTGCAACTAATTTATTTATTTATTTATTTTTCTTGTTTGCTTGGAAGGTGACATATAGGAATCTCCACTTGCCAATAATATAGACTATAGAGAAATAAAATAAAATTCAAGCATTAATTAAATTGCTTATGTTAATGTAAAATCTACTGTTTTGCTATAAAGTCAACTGTTGACTCCATAGTGGAGTCAACTTTTTATATACAACAAGTAAATCTACCATATCAATAAAATTATATTAGTGTTATTTAAGTAATCAGAGAATATGATAAGTTTATTTGTCGTATATAAAAGGTTGACTTCACTATGGAGTCAACTGTTGACTTCATAGCAAAACCGATAAAATCTATAGATGTGAGAACCTAAGCTTAGGCCAACTGATGCTTGCCAAAATAATGAACAATGACAATGTTAAGGTAACCCTAATTATAGAGGTTTTTGAGCTGCACGATTATTAACAAGATAATGTTAAAATTTAAAAAATTTCGCGCAAAGACGATATTTTTTTGAGTTGTACCAA